TTCCCGCTGCCGGCATCCTCCAAGGCTTTGCTCCCCGTCTCCCTGGTCTGCTGGTGGGGGACTCCCCCCCAGAAGACCAGGGAGATGTGGAGCAGCTTTTCTCACCCCGGAGGACGCGGGCGGCGGGACCGCGGTGCATCTGGGCGTCCCGCCGCTCGCGTCCTCCGGGGCGAGAAAAGCCCCGTTCATAACTGCGGATCCGACATAAGTCGGATCCGCGTAACTCGGGGACTGCCTGTATTTTATTTGGAATTTCTTAGAAACTGCATTCACTTCTAAAGCCTTAGATTCTAGAAGTTGGTTCAGAAACTGTAAGTAATTTATAGAATGGATTTTAAAACTAACTAATTTCATCAACAATGAAAATTTCTCTCTGCATTTAACCACAAAGAACCAGTATCTTCCCTAGGATTTGATTGAAGTTTTTTTTTTTAAATCGTGTGCACAGTATAAAAACTAGATTGTTTCATGTTTGGGCCCCAATTCAATAAAACATCTAAGCATACGGTTAAAGTTTAGTACATATTTGAGAGTTGTCAGGTATACTTTAAGCATAGGCTTACATGCTTTCCTGAATCAGGACTCAGGTGGGTTAACACATATTTCTAAGCTAACCTTGCACGCATACAAAACCAAACCAAAAGCACGCTGGTGTTCTATAAAAAAAATGGAATGATGAGAATATACTTTCCTGTAGGATGACACTTACTGATAAACACAGATTGATGTATGTGCATGTTTTACCATCTCCAGAATATCCTTTCAAACAATTACACACTGCCTATCAGGAGAAGAAAGGATCCGTATTAACACAGAAACATATGGAACTTGGTTGCAGTACCTTCTGATTTTATTTGAAGGCTTCAATATCTGAGATATAGATGAGAGGATTATTCTAGGAGGGGTAGGTGAGATTCTGTGGCCTGCACTGTGCAGGGGGTCAGATTAGATGATCATAATGGTCCCTTCTGATCTTAAAGTCTATGAGTCTATTTACTTGTATTGGCTATACTGACATGACTACAACAACACTGCACGCCTGAGGTACATCATTGTAGAATGTAGGGCCCTTTAACTACTTTATGCTGATGCTGTCATTACCATGCAGTTGTTCTTTCTGAGGTCCTGGAGTGTCAGAAAGTAAAACTATTGAGCCTTCACATTGTAATGACAGGGTATTTAGTATAACTGGATTCTAAAATACATTGATAAATTGCCAGACTCTTGGAGGAAGGACAAGCAACTCAGGCACACAGTCCTCTGGTTACAGGATTTTGCAGAAATTATATGAATATAATTAATACTTCATAGGGGTCAGTTGTGAGTCTTAAGAACATAAAAACGCCATACTGGGTCAGACCAAAGGTCCATGTAGCTCAGTATCCTGTCTGCTGACAGTGGCCAATACCAGATGCCCCAGAGGGAGGAATCACAAAAGGTAATCCTCATGTGATCCCTCCATTGTCACCCACCTCCAGAAAAACAGAGGCTAGGGATACCATACCTACTCATCCTGTCTAATAGCTATTGGTGGACCTAACTTCCATGAATCTATCTACCTCTTTTTTAACCCTGTTAAAGTTCTAGCCTTCACCAAATCCTCTGGCAAGGAGTTCCACAGGTTGTCTGTGCACTGAGTGAAGAAAAATATTCCTGCGCACATTGATGGGGGAGAAAGGCAGTGTAAGGATGCCTGTTGGAGAGGCTACCTGCATTGCCAGTAATTGTGAAAGGTAGAGGGCAGCAAATGCTGGGCTGTTACACTCCCATCTGTACAGGTGGGCAGAGGTTGGCACCATGCTTTCCCCCACCAATGTGCCACACCATACAGAAGAACTGGGGCTGGGCCTGTCCATGTGGCTCCTGAACAGAGCTGGAAATTTGGTCCAGCTACTATCCCTCTGTCCTGGGGAAGTGGTGGCCAGGCCAAAATTGAATGGTGCTGCAACCCCATGTGCCTGTTTGTCCCCCTCACTCAGTCTTTGCATTCCTCCTGGCACTGCTGGGCAATGAGCATCCCCAAGACCCGGGGAGAAGAGGAGCAGTGGTCACTGGGGCCTAGTAGGCCCCAGGAGGGTGGGGATGTTGGATTCAGTTTTTTTGTGCTTCTTAGGGAAGTGGAGACACAGAAGGGAATGGAGGGACGGGGGTGTCTTGAGCTTCCAGAACTGTCTGGCCCCAGTGCATGGTGCTCTCCAACCTTGCTGGCTCTCTGGGGAAGAGCTCAGGTTAGGTGCACGGTGACGAGACCACTGGCCTGGGTGCAGGGATTTTTTTTGGGGGGGGGGCAGAGCGTGGGGCAGCAGGCAAGGAGTGTGTATAGAGCTGGAGGCAGTGAGGAGAACTCAGAGCTGGGGTGGGGCAATGAGAGGGGAAGACCATTGGTCTGGGAATGGGGCGGCAGAGGACAACGTGTGTAGAGCTTGGTGCGGGGGAGGGGGGAAAGGAAGGCAAGAGAGCTCTGGCAGGGGTGCAGAGCAGGGGAGGGAGAGCTGTAGGCTCCCTCCTTAGGACAATTCTGGTTGTACCCCTGGCTGAAGCAAAGGGAGAAGTAATCGGTGTTAGCAAAGGGCTTGGAGCTTAGTGAGAATAGGAACCAAATTCTTATTCCCTGTCACTGTCTGTTTCCTGCCCTGTTCCTGGGAAAGTGAAGCCATGCTAGCTGGATTGTAGGCTACTGTTTAGCCCATAGCAATTCCAGTAAAGTAGGAAAGTAGAGGGACAGTAAAAAGCACCTCAATCCTATAGCTAAACTTTTAGTCACATGAATGCAGTGGTAATTACAAATATACAAAGCAAAACGGCAGTGTTATGGCACATTGATTGCAAAGTTAGATATCACTTGTTTTATCTGCTTATGCATGAATCTGTTAGATACCGGGAGCAGAGCTAGTTGGAAAGTGGGGATTTTCCTAGAGAAAATGTTGACAAAAATGAAGAGAATGTCATTGTCATCCAAGTTTTCAGAAAAAAAAAGTCAGCTGAAAATTTAAAAAAATATAAAAAAACCCCGAGGGCCAGAAAACAAATAAAATGGTTTTGGCTGACATGTTTAGGGTTTTGGTCAACATTTTTCAGGTTTTTGGTTTTCAAGGAAAAACTGAAAAATGTTGAGGGAAGTAAACACTTTCCACAAACAACAGGGAGTTCTGTGGCATCTGCAAAAATAACAGATTTATTTGGGCATAAAATTTTGTGGGCAAAGACCCACTTCATTAGATGCACGTGACGAACTGACTCTTTGCCCATGAAAGCTTATACCCCAATAAATCTGTTAAGGCATGTCTACACAGCATGCCTACACTGAGGTTATTCTGTAATAACGGTGAGCAGGAGGACTTCTTACTCTGACTCCTGTAACTTTAACTGTGATGATTCATTACTTACCTGATTGGGTCCAGTTTGAGTGCATTCTGCATTTCTATCACATCCACCGTTGTTCTCTAAGCAAGGGTTGATTTCTTTATAACCAAAACAATTGGAGAAAGCTCAGTGATTGCCAGATTCTCACTTCATTGATTACCTAAAGTAACCCATGCTAGGAATGCAGGTTTATGGCAAATGTAATTCATTTAGACTGATTCTCATTGCTACCCAATGCTCTCCTTGTAAGTATCTTTCACCTTTCTTGGCAAGAGCTGGAAACATGCAGATTGCTTTTAGAATGGTTCACAGTGAAGTTCAGTACAGTAATGTCTTGCCTACACTTAAAAAGCTGCACTGGCACATCTGCCCATTATATTGTCGCTGCTCTAGCGCTTCAGTATAGACACTCCTATGTGGCTAGGAGGGGTCTCCCATTGGTGTAAGATCTCCAGACCTCGGAGAGCTAGCAGATATGTTGACTGCACAATTCTCTGATTGGCATAGCACTGTTTGCAGTGCATGTTAAGTGAGTTGACCTACTTTGCTCAGGGGTGTGGATTTTTCATACTCGAGTGATGTAGTTATACTGACTTTATTTCCCTCTATAGACTACACCTAAGTCTTTTATTCTTTTCCTGAATGCGTACAGTGCCTAAGGCCTGATCCAAAGCATCCAGTGAAATGGGTGAGAGTCTTTGACTTCATTAGGCTTTGCTTTAGTCCTCTCCAGCAGTGACTTGAAGGTTAGGTCTCTTAGGCTATGTCTACACTACAAGGTTTTTGCGCAAAAACCAATAGAGTGTCCAACCTCAAGCGCGTTTTTGCACAAGAAAATCGACGCAACAGAGGGCTTTTGCTGGTAGAGTTATTCCTCTCCCCATGAGGAATAACTCCTTTTTGCGCTACAGCTCTTGTGCAAAAAGGCAGGTGTGGACGCTTTGAAGGGATTTTTGTGCAAGAAACCCCTATCGGAAAAAGCACAGGTGCTCTGATGGCCACTCACAGAATGGCCATCAGAGCACCTGTGCTTTTTCCGATAGGGGTTTCTTGCACAAAAATCCCTTCAAAGCGTCCACACCTGCCTTTTTGCACAAGAGCTGTAGCGCAAAAAGGAGCTGTGATGCGCTTTGAGGTGTTTTGCGCAAGAATTCTTCTGCAAAAGGCTTCTTGTGCAAAAATCCTGCCATGTAGACAAAGCCTTAAATTTAAGGTGCAATTCACTGTTATGATTTCAGTGGAGTCATTTAATGCTTTGGAGATACTTACATTTTGCATTTCCTTTTAAACTTTCTTATAATTTTCTCTAAGGGAAGGGTATGTGTATTTATCTGGAGAGTAATGTGTCTTTGGGGATCCATCCCATACACAGTGGACAGCATGAACTATTAATATACACGGAACATATATTGTGCAGATATCACTATAGCACTTCCCTGTCTTTCAACAAATGCCCGGATATAGCAATCCTTACCAAGACAGACTATTCCATCTCCAGTGTACCCAGCTGCACAAACACACACTCTGTTTCCCGGAGTAGTTCTTTTACACTCTGCTTTGATAGAACAGCCACCATTGCTGGTCTCACATGCGTCAATAACTATATAATGGGAAACAAAAAATGAAATCAATGTGCTGAGTTTGCTTTATAGGCAGACTAACTAATCTCTGTCATGTCTCCAAAGGCAAAGGAATTTAGTGATATTTCCCCGACAAATAAACCTTTCTGATTTAAGAGTCCATAGATATAATTAGAATCTTATACATACTACTTATAAACTGCAATAGGAAAAGGGGAGAAAGTGGCTTTCTATTGTGGAAAATAAGAAATAATCTGTGATGGGTTCTCCCATAAGTTCCTATTCTACAATGTTGCCTCGTCTAACTGCAAAAAATAAAGAGGGGGTTCTCCACAGTTTTCATAGAGATCCTTCCTACTTGTCCTTAGTTTGCAAACATTTACGCCTCCTATGATGGGATGTAATCCCTGTACTGGCACTGGAAAGGAAAGGCATCCTAAGAATACTGATCCATGTCACTTGGATGTATTAAAGGGCATTGGCCTTGGGGGTTTATCAGACTCTGAAATGTGTCTTGGCTGGAGGTTGAGGACATTCCTGGGGCTGGAATTGGCTGAAGAATAAAAGCAGGAAATTGAGGCACAGCTGCTAGAATGCCACACTAACTACTAAGGGGGCCTGTTAGTGGGGCAACTCTGCTACACCTCTTCATTGGGAGTCAAATATCCTGCTGTTAAAGGAGGTTGGGGTGACTCTGCCAATCCTAGGATTACTCATTGGCGGGTATATTGCTTCTCCAATGCATAGGTTTCCTTGTCACTACCATCCTAATGAGACAGAGTCGGGCCATAGGAATCAAGCCCCCCAGGTTCTTGTTTGCTAGAGCTGAGCATATTCTACATGGCTAACAGGGTTTTCTGATAAAAACGACACTTCTCCAGTATTCTGTTAATGGTCATAAACACTGTACTCACACTAGTGCAAGATGTAACATTTTCAACTATTGAAACAGCATAGTGTTTTCAATATGGATAGGGATGTAAAAAGTTTAACCAGTTAACTCCTAAGCTGATGTTTATTGGTTCTGGTTAACATTTAGTCCAGAGGGGGCTGGGAGACTGAAGCCAGCAGCTCGTGGGGGCCAAAGCTGGCTGTTGCCATTGGCAGCCCGTGAAGCTGGTAGCCCATAGGGCCCTCCTAGAGGCTTGTTACATGGTTAATATTTTTTAAAGTTTTTTTTGCATCCCTAATGTGGACAGCCCTACCAGATCACTAAGCCTGATTGTGATGGAAAGTCCCCATCAGGGGAGAAATGAAGACCGATATAGCATAAACATAAGGGTCTTAAAACATCTAGGTTCTGCAGCACTTTGGCTATTCAGACAGAAATTCTTGCCATTTCCTCAATCCTCCCAGACTTTCAGTTGTGCTGCACGCTGTGAAGGTGGGAAGGGAGGGACTGGAGCCATCTGGTCCACTGTGTAAATTTAAAGCAGTGTAACAGCTGCTTTAATTGACCCCCTGCTGCTCACAATGCCAACAAGCTGTTCCAATAGCCAAAATAGCCAGACCACAGTGGACTGGCAACTTGTCCCATAACCTTTTTTTCACAGGACAGGGGCCAAGAGTAGATGAAATAGAGTCTTAGGTTGGTTCTATGCCACCACAGATGCTCCCTACCTATGGGGAATTTCTCAGTAGCAGATTAAACTGGCTTTCTAGCTGATTTGTGCCGCCAGGGTGTTGCAAAGCAGGGGCTAGTGTCTGGCGTCAGGACACAGCTACCCAGCGTGGTTAGACAAATGCTCCATTGTTCCAAAGGGCATTATTTTAATCAGATAAAGTTTAGGGAATTAATTACACAGATTGCAGCAGAAAACAGTCTGTTTCATAAAGCTGGATTTTCCACTCTTTCAAAAGAACACCTGGGATTAATTGCAATTGACCCTTTTTTTTAGGCTAGCCATAGAACAATTTTAATTACTCACCACAAATCAATTCAGATAAAACCAGAGGACTAGCCAGAAGTGCTACTGTATCTCCAATCAGCCTATGTTCATTAAACTGGGCCAGAAATAAAGAACAGACATAATCCAGGTTTCCCTACTCCAGAACTAACACATCTCCAGTTGTGCACAATATGTTCCCTTTCCCCCATTCTTTCCCTTCCACACAATATATGGACTCTTGGGGATTTCCAGTCCTTTGTTGTTGTGAAGCAGCACCTGTCGCAGTCTATTCATTCTGAATCAACTGGCAGCAAGTCCTCTTTTCACTCCCTATGTGGAAACGTGCATCTCTCCACACTCTTCTGCTTCACAGTGAACGCCAAGTGCTTCAAGCACATTCTTGGAAAGGGTCAAAAACAAAGTCCACTTGCCTGTACAGTGTGTTCCATTCCCTTGAAAGCCAGCTGCACACTTGCAATATGCAGTGCCGTTAGACATGAGGAGGCAGCTAGAGAGGAGAAAGGTGGAGCATTAGAAACCACTGGCTCTGGACTGTCATCATTGCTTTACTGCATCTTCATTTTTTATTGTTTGTATTACTGTGGCACCTCAGATCAGGTCATTGACCAGACACCCGTGGTGCTAGGTGCTGCGCAAACACTGAACAAGAAAACGTCCTTGCTCCAAGGAGCTTGCAATCTAACTACTGCGCAAGAATCAACAGATGGATACAGGGGAGTACAAAGAAGCCGAGAGACAATATTGGTCAGCATGACAGGCAGTGGTCTCAGCACACCAGTGGAGTAGCCATTGTTTTTTTGCAGGCAGCACAAACAAGGAGAGATTTAAGGAGGGTTTTGAAGGAAGAGAGTGTGGAATTTGCCTATATTTATGGGGAGCTCCTCCTATGTGTGAGGGGCAGCATAGAAGAAAGCACAAAAGTTGTTCACAGGGGAGTGACGGAGGCTTGCACAGTTGGCCAGTGGAAGGTGGGAGTTAACAACACAGTTGTATGACAGGGCTGCTTGTGATGCTAGAAACAGTCTCAAGAGCTCTGGGGGCTGACTTCTGGTTGATATTTTATGTCCTGAAGGTTATGACCACACTACAATAACCCTGCAGCTGGCCCTTGGGCTACGGGGCCGTTAAACTGTAGTTATTCCAACTCACGCTGGCACATAAGCTCTGGGAGTCCATGATGGGGGAGTGGCCCAGAGCGCAGAATGGCTACACCTGAATGTCTACACTGCAGTTTTACAGTCCTGCAACTTGAGATCCATGACCCCAAGCCAGCTGGCACAGGTCAGCTGTGGGGGTTTCATTGCTGTGTGGACAGACTCGATAGCTCAAGCTTCAGCGTTTTAGTCAGCCAGACAGAAGGGGAATCTCCTTGTAGTGCATTTTGGGAGGGTTTTTTTTGGGGGGGAGAGGGGATTGTCTCCTTCCTCTGAAGCATCAAGGGGCCATGGCTGGAGATGGGACTCTGGGCAGGGAGGATCTAGGGTTGCCAGCTTCAGCGGAGAGGAGGTAAGCAGCATTTTCTTAGTCAGCCTGCCCTGGCTCCAGCTCTCTCCAGCCCCTCCCCTGGGGACCACCTCTCTGCCCTGCTGTGCCCTGATTGCCTCCATCCCCTCTCTCTTGGATTGGCTCCCCTCTACCCAACTATCCCCCGATTGACCCAAGGCCCTTGCTCCAGACACTGGCTGGGTAGGCAGGCAGGCTCTGCATCATTTCCTCTCAACCCTGTATGGACCAGGGCTATGAGGTGGATGGAGTATTGTTTATCTTAGGTACAAACAAAGGGAAGTTTTTCCTTCACTCAGCGCACCATCAACCTGTGGAACTCCTTGCCAGAGGTTGTGGTGAAGACTAGGACTTTAACAGGGTTCAAAAAAGAGCTAGATAGATTCATAGAGGTTAGGTCCCTCAATGGCTATTAGCCAGGATGGGTAGGAATGGCGTCCCTAGCCTGTTTGTCTGGAAATGGGTGACAGGAGAGGGATCACGTGAGGATTATCTGTTGTGTTCCCTCCCTCTGGGGCATCTGGTTTTGGCCACTGTCGGCAGACAAGATACTGGGCTGGATGGACCTTTGGTCTGACCCAGTATGGCCATTCTTATGTACTTGATTGTTGGTGCTTGCTCACATGCTGAGGGTTTAAGTGATTGCATATGTGATTGGGAAGGATTTTTCTCCCAGGTTAGACTGACAGTGACCTTTGGTTTTCTCTGCCATTGCTGGGGACATTGGCACTGGTGCACCTTGGTCCCTTTTGTTCTTTGCCTGTAGCACACAGTAGTCTGGTCTCTTGTGGGCTGTGACATTTTAGCTTGATTTCAGTTGTTGGATTTAGTGTTCGGGTGGTGCTGGATGCCTGTGATGTACAGGAGGTCAGACTGGATAATCACTTGGTCCCTGCCAGCCTTAATCTCTATGACTGTATCTTGGTAGCAAATGAGAGATGATAGGTAGAGTGGGAATAGACCACGAAGTTCCTTGAAAGAGAAGACATTGTTTGCTGCAATAGAGAAGGGGAAGCTAGGGGATGAATTCAAAGAGAAGGGTGATGTGGTCAAAGCGATGGGGTAGGAAAATGATCTTTGCAGTAGCATTCTGAATGGATATGAGTGAGTCAACATGTTTAATTTGAGCTGATGTGTGTGTGAGTGTGTGAGTGAGAGAGACACTGCACCTGAGGCCCTCTCCAGCATCCACATTCCCTGCCAGAGCCTGCACCCAAACTCCCTCCCAGAGCCTTAGGCAGGAGGAGGAAGGGGAGAGAGCTTAGGTGGGGAAGTGATGCTGGCTGTGTGTTTGGGGTACCACCAGAATGTCTACAAACCTGCCACCCTTGTGTACGTGGAAGGTAAAACAGCGATGAGCTAGCAAGTACAAGCAGGTTCTGAATGAGCTCTCCCCTGACATCTAGTGATGTACTGGGAGAAAGGACGTTAGGAGCAGGCTGTAGTTGTATAGACACATTCACTCTGCCTTGTAATCGCAGGCCAAACCACGACTCTAGTACCGTGCTCCGCTAACATGCATGGGAATTCAGTACCTCAATACAAATTTGGTTCATGGAGGAAGACTAGACTACTATAATCAAACTAGGCTCTCCAGATCTTAGTAGGGATGTTAAATTTAGATTAACTAATCGAATAGTCGGTGGGATTTCCATCGACTATTTGATTAGTCTATAAGGGCACCTTCGCCTTTGAACTGTAGCAAGAGCCCTACCTGGAGCATGGGGCTTCCTTTTGAAATGTACAAGAGCCCCAGTGGGAACCTTGTACATTTCAAAAGGAAGCCCCACAGGAAGCGTGGGATCAGCAGGGGATCCCGCTGTCCCTGCACTCCCTGGGGGGGACCCCGCTGGCCCTGCGCTCCCTGCGGCACCTGAGCCTTTGAAATGTACAAGAGCCCTGCTCTTGTATAACTTTACCTCAAATTCGTATTAAACAGCAGAGGGGTAGCTGTGTTAGTCTGTAACTTTAAAAAAAACAATGAGTAGTCCTCTCGCACCTTAGGGCATGTCTACATTACAGCATTATTTTGAAATTACTCCCCTTATTCCAGAATAACAAGATGAGCATTCACACAGCAAGCCCATTCTTTAGAAATTATTTTAAAATAACAGGCTTCTTATTTCTAAATAATAAACCCTCATTTCATGAAGAATAATGCTTATTTTGAAATAAATAGTGATAGTACGGATGCTCCACTGCTGCTATTTTGAAATAACTACTCCCCAGCGCCATTCAAAGTAATTACTCCCCACTGCTTCCTGGAGTTCTAAATTGAGGTAGCGCCTCCACATCAGGGGATCCTAGCTTGAACTAATTTCAAGGCTTCCCTGTAGTTTGGATGTGTTATTTCAAAATAATTATTTCAGGAGTTGTTATTCCAAAAAAACGTATTTTCAAGTACCCTTGTAAAGTAGGCATACCCTTAGACTTGAACAATATATATATATAATATAGTATCATGAACTTTCCTGGGCAAAACCCTCTTCCTCAGATAAGCAGAGCTATAAACTGCAGATAAGATAAATATTTAAATGAAGCTGCCAGCAAAGAAGAAAATCAGATTCTTGTACACGTTTGGGGCTCTCTGTTCCAGTTTTCCTGATTGTCTAATAATAAGCAGTCAGCACATAAAAGGTGAATTTCTAAAGTAACAACATTGCTCTCTGAAATCCTAAGATAACTTAGCCAGCATCTCTCTGGGGCTATGGTGGCAGACTGGATTCCCTACAGCAAAGCCCAGATTTCCAAAGGAATTTAGGTGTAGCTCCACTCACCAATGCAAAGCCTAAGTGATTTAGACAGCCAAGTCCCATTTTCAAAAGTGGCTTATGCACTCAGTAGCCCATGCCCCATTGACTTTCATAAGATTTAGGTCCCCACTGGCTAGATTCAAAAAAGTACTAGCCACTAGGTAGGTGCCTAACTACCACTTTCCAGGCCTCAATCCCAGAATCAAGATCCACCTGGGGTTCACAAAACTCAGGCTCGACTGCCACCTAAGCCTGCAGGCACAGACAGATACGTGCTCAGTGCCTACATTAAAGTAAAGGAAAAGGTCCCTAAGAACATACGTCACTGCAGCCCTATGCTGGATTTTTGGACATCAAAGCCACTGTGCTATTCATGAACTGGGGCAAGCCAGGTGCTCCTCTGCCTAACTCATCTGCAGGGCCCAATCCTATAGGCATGTTTAGCGGTTGCATACCAGAACAGGCCACACAAGTAAGCTCCCAGAACACTGGGGGGTAGGAGAAAGAGTGGGTGGTCTCTTGGAACTTTTAGCCCTGTGGTTAGGGTACTCACCTGGGATGTCAGACACCCCTGACTGAAGTGCCCCTTCCACCTTGTGGAGAGTGGGGGGGAAGAGAAGGGGTCTGAACAGGGATCTGCCTCTGCTCATGTGAGGCCCTAGTCACTGAGTGATGGCCTATTCTGATGTAGGACTCTCTGTTATAATGGGAGGCACTGAGTCAGAGAGCGAGTGAGTAGGGATGAATCTGTAGCCTGTTGGTCAGCTGGGAGTCTCAGGACCCAGCCCCGCTGCTCCAATGACTTTCTAAATGATTTAATCCACAATGGAACAGCCTCAACAAGAGAGACTATAGGACCATTCCCTCCAAATATCCCTTAGCCCAGTGGTTAGGGCACTCTGCTGAGAGGTGACAGAGCTCTCTTCAGATCTCTTCTCCTTATCAAGAGTGGGGGAAGGGATAGATCGTTACTTTCCAGGTGAGTAACCTAATCACTGAGCTAAAAGTTACCCGCAGTGAAGGTACCTAATGCCAAGAGAGGCTTTGCAAACAAGGATCTCAAGCAGAGGGAGATCTATCCCTTCAGCCCAGATTTAGGCACTGAGAGAGACAGGGCTTAGCTCACCCTGCAGTATCTCCTGTTATCTAGCCAAGGGAATCATTTAGGATGTAGACAGCTGTCTCTCCACATTCACTGGATAGGGAACTTAAGCATTGAACTCAGGCTCTGTGAATCCCAGTGATTTTCTAGGTGCTTAAAAATTAGGCAGGGTGACATGCAGCACTAGGTTCACTGGTGAATCTAGCCCTCTGAGTGCCTACATCCCTTCTGAAAACAGCATGTAGCTGTCTAATCACTGAGCTTTGCAACATTGAGGGGACCAATGCCTAAGTATCTCTGAAAATTTGGCCTTACCGGATTTGATTTTGGTGGCGACTTGCCCTTTTGAAAATGTATTTTCTCTATTACTGTGTGAACACTGAACTTTTAAGGTTGGTCCATCACTACTATATTATCCTTGCAAAGTGCGGTGAAACTGCTAAAAATGGGAAGCATAAGAAGTGATAATTGGAGAATATGCATAATCTGTGTAGATAGTGGGGAAATATGAAATATAAAAACAAAGAACATTCACATTATACTATGAGAATGTGCTTCAAAGTGGTCAGATTTCATACATACTTAGCGCTGGTGTGGCATGTGCTGTTGCATGCATCATTTTTGATTTCTGGAAGAGACAAAATGAATGGTTAGTTACTTTAATGCAAATCAACATTCTAAAACTATACGTTCATTTTCCGTGGTTGCGCAAACTTGTCCTTCATTTTTCTTCTGTAAGGTCCTTTTCTGTTATTCTTATGTAGTGCTGACTGGCAGAACCAAACCTATGACTCCTGGAGCATAGTGAATAAACCTCTACCACTTGACCTAAAAGCCAGCTGGCTCGCAGCTAAGGCTGTGTAGAACACACTCATTCTTTCTCTCTGTAAATGGTCTCAGTGTCACTACATAGGACAGCACACCACACCCAGTAGGTGTGTGGGTTATGCTTACACTAAATAATGCCTTATTGCCCCAGAAGTCCCATTGAAATCCCTGGGAATACTTGGAGTAAGATATGGGCCAATTTGAGTAAGGGTGAAATTCTTCCTTCTGTATAAGTCAACATGATGCATATGCTATGCATTACAGATGTCCTGTTTGGGAAGGTATGTGGGATGAAAGTGATACGCCTGGGTTGCATTTCTTTCCTGCCATTTTACTTATTTTTAAAAAATTAAAGATAAACATATCAGTTAGTACAATTGTTATATAAGCAGGGAAAAGGAGGTTATCAGAAAGATGACTGAAAGGTGCACAAAATTATCAAAGCAGTGTGAATTAGGGATTACAGTACATTTACAAACTGATATTATAAAACTCATCAGTGGCTTATCTTTACACCATTTCTACAACTTGGCCCAACATTCCTCAGGCAGTTCCTCTGCTCTTCTAAAATGGGTTCATACTGGTTCTTTTAATTCTTCTATTCTGTCAAGCCTATTTCGCAAGCATAACGGGGTAGTACAGCTATCCAGCTCATTGTATCTGATTTAATTTCCCTGCTTTCAATCTCATCCTAAAATTCTCTCTTCTTCCCCCTCTACCTGCCTTTGGGTAGGATTCACCTCTGTGCAGAGACAGCATAAGGGCTATTCACTGCACAAGGCCCATTTAAGCCCCCAGAATAAAGCATTAGTGAGACTTGAATGGCGCAGAAACTTTGTGCTGACTGTTGCACAGGGGTATTTTGCCATTACTATATTATTGATGGTCTTCCTTAGCTCAATATTGCAGCTGTATCAGGGAGCTTCTAGACACAGATTTTTGTCTCTTTTGTGCTTATTTTGTTGACTGTGATTATTTACTGTGTTTCCTTTGGAAGTCTTGCCCAGTGCCTTGCTATTGAAGATGCTCTATTTTAATCTAACAAGTAAATTTTATGTAGCATCTACCATTGTGGTTTCCATGCAATGATTTGTGTTGCATGTGAGGCCACAATTAAGCATGCTGGTTTGAGGTTTGCAAAGGAGCCCAAGGCAATTAGTTATTCAAATCCAAGTGAAATTCTATGGGAGTTGGGGGTCTAATTATTTTAGGTCCTTTTGAAAATTCTAGCAGAATCAGCTTTCTATTCTAAGTCCTGGTCTTAGTCTCCTACCAACTAATTAAAAAAGAACTGTCCTTTACAATCAAATAAATATTTATAAAGCAACATGTAACATTGCATTGCTGAAACCAATGTATTGAAGGAGTTAATAGTAGAAAATTCTGCTCTACAAATATTGCAAATTTAGTCTACATGAGAATTCTGTCTTGAAAAGATCATGGATGCATTAGCTATAGACACACAAAGGGATATGTATAAGTGTGAAGCTTGTCAATTGGCTTGCATGATTCTCCCTTACCGTTGATGGCTAATTCCCTTCACACAGGCCTGAAAGCTTTTCAAAGACATTTACAGTTAGGCTGAGGGCCTCATTGCCTTTCTGTAGCTTTGGGAGGCTGCTTGTTATCTATTATTGTGGGAGAGAACCTCAAGTAAATTGTGCATTGGGATGTATTCCTTACTGCTGCTCTGCATTCCATAACACATACTGGCCAGGTCTACACTAGGACCTCCGTCCGAAATAACACCCTCAAGTTCAAATTAATAAGTGGTGCATCCACACTTCCAAGCCCATTATTCTGCAATAAGGGGCCGTGGAATTCACACTCTGTACGCCTGCTTTTCATGAGGAATAATGCTAATTCTGAACTTGTAAGTCCGAAATAACGTAGTCCGATGCTCCGGTGCCACTAATTCAAACTTATTGGCCTCTCAGAGGCCTCCTGCAGCTCCTCAGAGTGCTTCCTGGGGCTCATTAACTGAGTCTGCCTCAGATTAATTTCGATGCTTCCCTGTCGTGAGGACAACACAAGTTTGAATTTGTTAAATCGGGCATTCTTAAGTCAAATTTAGTAATTTTGAAATAATTTCCTAGTATAGTCTGGGCCACTAAGAGTTCATCAGAGAAAGAAGGCGGCACACTTACCGCTCTCACAGTTCACGCCTCTCCAGCCAACGTCACACTCACAAGAGCCATCTCCTTCAATCCCACTGCTGCATTTCCCATGGACACAAGCACATTCTAAATGCACAGAAGTAAGTAAACCACTTAAAACATGCATTGTAACATAGAGTGTGCATAGCAGAGCAACAACTAAAACACAA